CATAGATTATGATGTTAAGCAGTTACGAAGCAGAGAGATTCCTTATGTTAAAGTTTTTTGGAAGCATGGATTTGAGAAAGATGCTACATGGGAGAAGGAATCAGAGATGAGGGAAAGCTACACACACCTATTTGATTAAGGTATGATTCTTTAACGCTTGTCTTAAATTTCGAGAACGGAATTTTTATAAGGGAGGGAGAATTGTAAAACCAGCAGAAATGTCATTTTAGACCTCGCACGCTTTTCGATGCGTCGCAACGAGTTTTAAGTAAATTTTTCAAAATCGTCGGAATTCGACGCAAATAATTTTATAAAATAGTGCGCAAAATTCTGAGTGAAACGATATATAAAACCCATATGTAATTTCACATAATTTAAGAATTAAAATTCGCGTAAGTTCGAAAATGCCAATAAATGCCCTTAAGGAGTGTTAAAACACAAATGGTTTAAGTGATGGTAGTTTGGACTTTAGGCAAATGGAATGAGGCTCCCACTCTAAATAGGGGACCGAAATATTTTGGTACCCTATTCCGTCTTGCGGCCGAACCGAGCGAGAGAAAAGGGGGGGGGGCGTCGGGTAGGAGGCGGAACCGAAGCTTTTGGAGGTGGTTTCCGGCGGCGATTTCGAGGAGGATTGAAGGAGAAATCTAAGAGAATGTTAAGGTAAGTAGTTTGCAAGTGTTTCCCTTCTTTTTCCTTAAGTTTTCATTAAGGGTAGGAAATTAGGGTTTTGAGAAAACTAAATTTTCCTTTGAGATAAGTTGAGGGAAAGTTAAGGGCTGTTTTCAAACCTTAGAATGAAATGTTTTCACTAAAAATATGGATTTCAAAAAAATTAGGGTTTCCTCAAATTTTCTTTTCTTTCAAATTGGTTTCGTAGGATAGTTTTTAAATGACAATAGGAGTCCCATAATAGAAATAATGCATTTTTTTGTGAAGAAATTTTAGGTTTGGAAATTAGGGTTTTTCCCTAATCATAGAATTTTTGAGCTTGAAGGTTTCCATTAGGTTCGGGAAGACTTTTAGAAGCAAATTTAGGACTCTTACATCAAAAACCAATTTTCGTATTTTTGGTATTTAATAATTCCGAAAATAAAATTTGATTTTAAAATGCTAATTGAGTGTAGGGAATGGTGTGTGCTTAAATAGAAATCTAGGAATGTGACTCTTCTATAAAAAATAAAATATGATTTAAGGGGTTTAGATGGGACGCATGAACATGAATTAGGGAGGGGTCCTTTATTACCATAGCATAAGGGTTTAGAGAATTTATGTAGGATTAGTGATTTTTACTTGATGCGTGTGTTTCATTTAGCTATTGAACGCGTGGAAAGGAAGAGTTCGTAAGGATAATTGGCGGAGCACATTGTATTGAGGTAGGTAAAAGTGACACTTTTAAATTTAGAAGAAAATTTCAATTCTTTCCACCATAGCATGTTTTATACTGTCGTGAAAATTTTTAACATTATTCCAATCGTACTGCTTTTATATCTTATTATGCTCTAAATGTCATGCACATGTTTGTATGGTTGCCTAATTATATGAACTCATTTGGAAATGGTTTAGAGACAATTGAGCTTATACTTAATATCATATATGAGTTCTTACTCATGTGTTATCTTACATTGCAAGTACATCTCTTATGTGATAGTATATAATGCACTTGTTTCTTTCTAAAGTGATGAATAAAGAATGTACTTATTTCATTTCTTTCCTCATACTATCATGAAATCATGTAGCACATTAGGAGACAATTGACCATATGCATGAATAAGGATCTTTTATGAATAATTAAAGAATGAATGTATGTGCATGTTGATGCGGAGGTATCTTTGGTAAAGGGGCTCTTTTGAACTAAATGGTAAATGGGTTCTTTTGAACCAAATGGTAAAGGGTTTGGCCAAACAAAATGTACCAGATCAGTACAAAAGATACTTCAGAGAAGTGTGATTATAAGATATATATTACATTATATGCATATAAAACATCGTATGATTTATGAAAATAATTCATGTGTTGTGTAAAGTGATTGGTTGAAAGCTTAACTGAAGAAAGAGGCTTAATGGTCGACTTAGAGGCATGTTACTTAATTTTTATGATTTGTTTAATGTTCCTACACAAAGTATTGACATACATGTTATTTTCCACACCCTATTTTCTCTAAATTTAATTGAAAAAGCATTTGCCTATTGAGTTATGACTCACCCATGTTTTGAGAAATTTTCAAGAGATCCTGCGATTAGATAATGGTAGACCAACCACCGCGTACTTACCATCGTAGGGAGACGACTGGTGGCAGGTTCTTTTGAGTTTTGTTATTTTGATTATAGATAGACGTATGTAAAATTTTTTGAGAGAGTTAGATTTGTTTGGATCCCTTCTTTTGGAAGAAATCTCTATGTACATATTTCTTTTGAAAGATGAACGAAAAATGGAAGTTTTACTTGGATTTACTTTAGTGGCTCTTTCATTATATAGTTGAAGATGTTTGGTTTATGTTAGATCTTTTGATGTTATGCTATGAAGGCTTATTTCATCCTGTCCGACCTCTGTTCCCGCCTCGCCTATACGAGCTTATCGGGCTGGGTCGTGACAAAGTATAGGATAAATTCAAGTACAAAACCATGTCTTCAATGCATTTTCCTTCTTCCATGACTTTTTTAATTGCGGAAAAAAAGCATTAACAATTTGTGGTATTCTATTGTCCAAACTTCCTATAGACTATAGTTCATCTACAAAACAGGATAACTGGACCTTACTATTAGTAATTGGATAGGATTCTGATTTACTTGCTGTAATGGAGCAGATACTTTAGCGGATCGAATGAAAGAACTATGGTTTTTTACATCAATCTATTTATATGCAATGATAACAAGTTATACAACACTCAACGGTTCAAGAAAGAATAGGGAACGAGCATTTGTTGCCTTGTTAAAAAATGTAAAACTAATTATTTTTCATATAGTTTTATGGGTAAATTAATTATAAGCATATTCCTTCAAAAATCTCCCACTTTCAGCGAGTTATAGCTCCAACCAAACTAAAAAAATATTATTTTTCTTCTATGGCACGTAAGCATTCCACATTGACAACCTTAGCAACTTGATTCTCCTCATCCTTTCATATCAATAAAAAGAGAGAAAACAAAACAAAATATTCATCTATATGATTTGGATGACTGCTGTTAGGAAGTTCAGCCCGATTTTTCATTGCTCGAAAGCAGCAAAGCCCAAGCCAATCAAAGAAAAAAAAAAACAGAAATCATCCATGGGCTCGCCCCTTCCGCGATCTTAAGCTTCCAAATTAGCAAATCAAAGCATACTTTGCCAATCCAGTACGAAGTATTCACCAAAATCAGATCAAAACAATACGAAGATCCTAAAATTTTGTAGATCCTAAAATCCGATCTAACAGGAAGGGAACGTAGTCAAGGAGTGAAGTCCAATAGCAATGAAGGAGCCGAAGAAGCTACACGTGCAAATTTTATGCTACTCATAATTTTGTTTTATATAAGTTATTCAATCTAAACCTCCAGGATCATAGTTAGAGAAAAATCATTTGGAATGAAAATATCTTCATTTGGTTAAGATATTAAATTAGATGTACATGATTTTGTTGTTCAAACCTTTTTTTTTTTGTTCAAAAATTAATTTTGGATTTAATTATATAAATGTCCCCTGTCATTTAAAATTTCAGCAACCTCCTGGCATCCCACCTAGCATAGGGGTGTCGAGTAGAGATTTGCCTTTCGTTCTTCCTGGCTGGATCAAAGATACGACGGATGTAAGGTCTTCATAAAATTTATATTCTTCCCAGCCAAATCAAAGATACAACGGATGTAGGGACTTCTTTAGTTCTTGTTCTTTTCATTATTGAATCCAGTATATGTTCGTGTGTGGGTTCTTTTGAACTTGTTTTTTAAGCAAGCAAAAATGAAATTTATACATTTTAGTATAGAAAGAGTGATGAAGGCAGCGATGAGTCGAGGATCGATCAAGTCGAGTGATTGAGTAAAGACGGAATATGTCGGATGCTGGTGTGGGAGGTTGGATGCACAGGTGATGTCGGATGCTGGTGTGGGAGGTTGGATGCACAGGTGAAGTCGTAATCGCAAGGGGGTTGGGTCAGAGTCGTGTCTACATTGATCGAGCATGAGGACATATTTGTGGGAGGCGACGAGTGTACGTCTGGGCAGAAGTTTTGTGTGCGGTTAAGAGAGATTTGGTCAAGCACAGGCGAAGTCATGGGCATGCGAGGGCTGGAGTCACAAGGTTATTCCCGTGCATGAATGAAGTCGCGGGGCATCTAAGTTGCTTGCGCGTGAGGACTGATCGTGGGGGCTGGGTCGCGTGAGGGCAGAAGGAATGCTAGGCCGTTCCTTGTGTGCTGCACATAAAGATCGAGAGGGAATTTGATCGCCTGGAAGGGTCCAATTCCTACTCTTGCAGGCGTGAGTTCGGCGGCTAAGAAAGTTGAGAGGGAGCGAGGCCTTTCTGCGTGCGATGTCGTACGAACGAATAGAGAGAGGAGCTTCGATTCCTGCCTGTGAATGAACAAAGAGTGGGAGAGAGTTCAATTTTGTCTACTGTCGTGTAAGGGAGTTAATTGAGTGGGGGTGGTTATGAGATCCTGGGTATTGGGTTAGTGGTCAACAGTTGTAGACACTCGACATATTATTTCTTGTCACGAAATATGCTCTTGCAACCAAGAACTAGAGATTTCATAAGAACTTCAATATGCAAGAAATTTTCCATACAACATACCCACTCGAAGTGCATAAAAATTGCTATCCCCACCCACAGTTTTTCCTCCCATCAATCTTACATTCCAAAGTGGGTCGACTAGTGGTTCAAGGTGGCATGTCAGATTCCTCCCTATTCTTTCTTTTGTACTAATCTGGTCAATAATCCCTGCAATTGAGAAACTATTTTCCTTCTCCTTTTATTATCTGATTCATAAGAAATATTTTCTTTTAAAACAGCACTAATAAAGTCACATACCTGGATTTCTGGAAGAAGAAGCTGGATCCTAGGATGATGACCACAGTACATGGTTAACGAAACTAACCAGACAGTTGCTGCACAGCGTTCTTCTCTCCTGTTACTATAAAGTAGTTCGTCAAAAAGTTTTTTTATTATCAGATCTCTTGCCAAAGCACGAGACTCATTATCAACATTAAGCTCAGATGAGCTCCATCTCATTGAAACTGAGGAAATTTCACTAGAAAGATAGTTATATGTCTGAGAAAGGGAAATATAATTTGATTTCAGTATCTCATCTCCAGTCACAGGTACTCCTCCCCATATAAATGATAAAGCCTCCCCAGCAGCAAAGAGTACATCTTCAACCTGAATGTGCAATAAAAAAGAGCTAACTAGACAGCAACTGCATTCAAAAAATTAGTATTTTTCACATACAAATTTGCCAATCCACAAGGTTTAGATGATGAATACCTTCGACCGAGAAAGACCAAAAATTAAATCAAGAGCATTTTTCAAGTGAGATATTGATGCTTCCTTCACTGAAATATGCCCAAGAGCAACAACAATCCTCTGAATAGTTTTGATGTCATTCCCATCAAGCAATTTTCTTAGCCTTTCATGCAAAATTAGTAATAGATTGCCTGTGAAAGTAAACTGAATGTTCAGCAAATGAAAATACCATGGACAAGAAACAAAGGTACCTCTTATCGAGAGAGATCAATGAGAAAAAGTACCTGAGATTGCATCATGATTGATATCATTGGGCAAAGGACGACGTAGCCCAATATGACCGAGGGCTTCCATAGAAACTGAGGCTAAAGAGGAGGCTTCCAACTCGACCACACTTACAAGATGGTTAACTATGCTTGAAAACAATGATTCAGAAATCTGCATGGAATAATTTATTGATCAGCATCAACAGACAACATGAAAATTAAAAGAAATGAAAGAGAGGGCTATAACTCAATAAATATGACAATTTAGAGTTGAATAAAGGAAATCGCATATTGCTGGCATAATAGGAAGGCTATTGCACAAATTACGCTAATTTTGAAAATCATTTGGGCAATGGGAAAACGTAGCATTCGATGCAATATGATTTGTCACATATACAAAATAATTAACACATTGGACAGCTCTAAATTCTTTCACGAAGAAATAACTTTCTATAATAACTAATTGTCATAGTTCAACATTGCTCGCTCTTGTTATACATATCCTAGATAAAACCAATATTCGCTGTTGTAGGAATTACAAGCTTCGAGAAGGGCATAATGCTTAAAGAAGACGGGCATACTGCTTAAAGAAAGGAATATTGGGAAGAGAAGGGGATAGCACAAAATGCAATAAAAATGGAAAATGCTACACATAACTTCAGTGGACACCCAAAAAGAATCTGATAAATTATAGGTTTCTTGTAGGAGCAAGCTCGTATAATTAATTATATCTCTTGATGATGAGAGAGAGAGCATTCGATTAAGGCTAGTCATTACATAAACATCAAGCACTTGGCATATAGTAATAACAATTTTGGTTTAGGATTGAAATTTTTCTATCATCAACTTCAAGTAGATAATGGGAAGAATGATGAGAAATGATGAAAAACTTAATCAAGGTCTCATTATTCTGTTGTCCCAAATTGTCATGGGTACTAGTCTACTCAGTCAAAGGAGATAGATGGTCCAATATGACCAAAAGTGTAAAGATCGCTTCTATAGTAATTGGTTGCCTATAATAACCTGATTTAGATCGGGTAAGACTTGCATGTTTACTTAGCCTCTACTAATTTCGGTGAATTTTTTTGGGTTATTTTTATTCCTAGTTTAGTCTCCAAAATAATTTCATAATGACACTAATTTGATAGTTACAATAGCCAACATAAATATTATGTTAGTTTACTTCAAACATGCTTTATTGTTCATACCATGTTATACTTTCATACAAATTATTGTTATATATATTGAACTCTATAGTAGATTTTGAGTAACTTTGTAAGCTAGTGTTACTCACCCCTACCTTACCTACATAAATCTTGATCATAAGTATGATCATGATATGTCAATATATTCTTTTGATAATCATGGTAATGTAAATGTTTTAGTGGGGAGAGAAATTGTATTATGATTCTTGCGTACAACTCTTGTTTATTGTATTGTTTGGTAGAAAAATGAAACAAAAAAAGTAAATAGTTTTACTTATTGTTTATTTGATGATATAGAAAAGTTTATTGATGCAAGAAAAATGAAACAAAAAACAAACTTTTTATAAGATAAAATACTATTACAAACTTGGACACAAACACCTTACAAACTTTGACAACATAAACACAAAAAAAAGACACCTAAGGAGCTTGCCAATTGTTGAGAAGAAGGATACGGTGGGGTGGATACTTGCGGGAAGAAGAATGAAATTAGAAGCCAAGACGAAGGATAGGAGTAACTCGCAAGTTATCCCAAGATAGAGAAGAAGAATAAGTGGACAAAGCTCTCAAGCTTTTCAAAAAACCCTCAGGTTTACATCTCCAAAAATAACATCATAACCTTCCTTAACCAACCTTTTTATGCCTCAAAACATCTCTAATATATAGGCACAAAAGGGGAGCCAAACAGCCACCTAAAACACATTTAATATCTTAATTAAAAGAGAGATCTAGAAGGCCAAAAGACAGCAAAACTGCTGCAGGAAAACTGCACAGAAAACAGAGAAAATCACATGGAATTCCCCCCCAAACAGCCACAGAAAACCAGCCAGTAGGAGACCCGAAAAGCCAGCACAGGAGGCAAGGCATCAAGGCACGGGAAACCAGCCAGCAAAGGACCCAAAAGCCAGCACATGAGACAAAGGGGCACATCACGGGAAACCAACCAGCAAGGGGAAAATCAAGAAGACAAAGGGAGGAGAAAAGGCATAAATTATAACTCATTTTAATGAGCTAAATAAGAAGAGTACCTTTTCACATTAATGAGCTAAACATCAACTCAAGAATTAATGAGCTAGACTTAAGTAGAACCCAATTTTTAAGCTCAAAACCAGCAGCCAAAGCCCAATTCGAGAACAGCCATGGTCCAAACCAAGAGGCAGAAAACAGCCCAAAGCTTGCCTACATCAATTCTCCTCCGGTTGAAAGAACTCATCTCCTGATGAAGCTTGAGTTTGTTTTGAACTTGTCCTGAGGCTTCCGAAGATTGATTGCATGGACTATGACTCATGACTCAGAAATAAAACTTACATGACACCAAGACACACACGACAAAACGGGATATACTAACCCGCTCTGATACCAAATTGATCCCGTGGCTGGCTGCTTGGCTCCCGTGGATGGCTTCTTGGTTCCCGTGGCTGGCTGTTTGGTTCACGTGGATGGCTGCTTGGTTCCCGTGGCCTGGCCATTTGGTTCCACGGCTGGCTGCTTGGTTCCTGCAGCTGGCTACTTGGTTCCTACGACTGTCTGCTTGGTTCCCATGGCTTTTCTGCTCTGTTTTGCTGTACCGTTTGGGGGCTGATGTGTTATGACTGTTGGCCTTTCATTTCCCTAAATCTAATAGATTTTAATTAATATTTTAGGTGGTTGTTTGGGGGTGAATTCCAAGTGATTTTCTCTGTTTTCTGTGCAATTTTCCTGCAGCAGTTTTGCTGTCTTTTGGCCTTCTATATACCTCTTTTAATTAAGATATTAAATGTGTTTTAGGTGGCTGTTTGGCACCCCTTTTGTGCCTATATATTAGAGATGTTTTGAGGCATAAAAAGGTTGGTTAAGCAAGGTTATGATGTTATTTTTGGAGATGTAAACCTGCAGGTTTTTGGAAAAGCTTGAGAGCTTTATCCACTTCTTCTTCTTCTCTATATTGGGATAACTTTCGAGTTACTCCTATCCTTCGTCTTGGCTTCTAATCTCATTCTTCTTCCCGCAAGTATCCACCCCACCTGTATCCTTCTTCTCAATGATTGGCAAGTTATTTGTGTTTATGTTGTCAAAGTTTGTAAGGTGTTTGTGTCCAAGTTTGTAATAGTATTTTATCTTATAAAAAGTTTGTTTTTTGTCAAATTTGTGATGCAATCAAAAATTTGGGAGAGAGACCCAAATTTTTTATCACAAAAAGAAGCAATGACTTCCTATATAAAAGAAACTCACAAAATACCCAAAAGAACACAAATACGATAAACCCCAACTTAATATAGAAAAATGAAAGACTTACAAACTTTGACTCTTACAAACGATGCTTACACAATCATAAACATAATCAGAAGAAGAATACAGGTAGAATGAAACTTGTGGAGAGACGAAAGAGATTAGAAGCCCGAGAAGAAATGGAGACAAGCTCGCAAGCTTTCTCAAAGAGGGAAGGAAGGAGGGAAGTTGGACAAAGCTCGCAAGCTTTTCCAAACAACAAACCCGCAGGTTTCTTTCCAAAAATCACATCATAAACTTACTTTAACATCCCAAAACAACTTCTATATATAACCATGAGAGCGGAAACCAAACAGCCCCAAAAAAAAGCCCTTCATATTCTTAATTTAAAGAGGGAAATGAAAAGCCAACAGCCAACTCATAATATTCCCTAATTCTACACAGGAAACAAAGCACCAAAGCCACAGAAAAGCCCCCAAACAGCCACGGGAAAACAGCCCAGGCGGAACCCGAAGAGGCAGCCGTGGGAACCAAGGGGCCAAGGCACGGGAAGTCTTCCCAGCACAGGAAACCAGCAGCCATTTTCGGAAATCTAAGGGACAAGTCACGGAAAACAGCAAGCACAAGGAAATGAAAAGAAAAAGGGGAAGGAGAAAACACAAGTCTAAAGTAATAATGAGCTAATTTTTAGTTTAATAAATGAACTAAAAATAGCCCATAATGAGCTAACCTCCCACTTGACATTAATGAGCTAGAGAAGCCAAAAATCAAATTTTTGGGTTTGATTTGACCCCCCCCCCCTTTGCCTACATCAGACTCCCCTACTTGAAAAACTCATATCCTGATGAGTCGCCTTTAGCTTTCTTCTGAGGAGGCGAAGACGGTGCATCTAGTTCTTGAATCTCTGCTTCAAATTTCTTCATAATTTCTTCTTGCTCTTTCTCGAGCTGTCTTTGAAGATACTTCTTTCTTTTCTCGTATTTCTCATCACATAAGAACATGTGATATTGAAGTTTGTATAATCTATCTTGTAGCGGATCTGTAGAATCACCTTCAGCTAGAATCCATCTGTCCATCGGAAGAGGAACTTCAGGATCTTCAGGCTTGCTTTCTTCCTTGACTGAATCCATCTTTTTGTCTTTTTCCATTTTCTTTTTTAAAAAAACTCAACAATAAACATGACTCAAAGAAAGACTCAACCTAAAGAAACCTAGACTCACACACAATAACTGCTATGACTTACCAAGACTTACTAGAACTCACAAACAAAACTTACATGACGTCAAGACACATACGACAAACCGACTTATAAACCTAGGACTTCCTAACTTGCTCTGATACCAATTTGATGCAATCAAAAATTTGGGAGAGGGACCCAAATATTTTATCACAAAAAGAAGCAATGACTTCCTATATAAAAGAAACTCACAAAATACCCAAAAGAACACAAATACGATAAACCCCAACTTTATATAGTAAAATGAAAGACCTACAAACTTTGATTCTTACAAACGACGCTTACATAATCAAAAACATAATGAGAAGAAGGATACAGGTGGAATGAAACTTGCGGAGAGACGAAAGAGATTAGAAGCCCGAGAAGAAATGGAGACAAGCTCGCAAGCTTTCTCAAAGAGGGAAGGAATGAGGGAAGTTGGACAAAGCTTGCAAGATTTTCCAAACAACAAACGCAGGTTCAAAAATCAAATTTTTGGGTTTGATTTGACACCCCCCCTGTTGCCTACATCAATTTGTCTAG